TAAAATAGCTGTTTTCTATGTGAATATCTATTAAAATGTCATTTATTGCTGTGATGCGCAGCTGAATTTTCAGCATCATAACTCCAGTCTTCAGTGTCACGTGATCTTCAGAAATCATTCTAATATGCTGATTTGCTGCTCAAGAAACATTTCTGATTATTATCAATGTTGAAAACAGTTGTGCTGCACAATATTTTTGTGGAAACCGCGATACATTTAATTTTTCAGGATTCTTTGATGAATAGAAAGTTCAAAAGAACAGCATTTATTTGAAATAGAAATATTTTTTAACATTATGAATGTCTTTACTGTCACTTTTGATCAGTTAAATGCGTCTGCTGAATAAAAGTATTAATTTCTTTCAGAATAAAATTTTACTGACCCCAGACTTTTGAACCGTAGTGTTTTTCTCTCCCCTGCTAGTTATTAGAGCTAAATAAAAATATTACATATCTGTGTTTTCAGACTTTTGACTACAGACTTCATAATCATTTGCTCTGAAATGCTTTAAAGAGTGATTTATTTTCAATCAGAGGAACCATTATTTCAACTAAACAGTCAGTGTAGCCAAATAGCTATAAATATTTAATGCAAGAAATAAAACTGCACAAATCCAGTTAAAATAATGCAAATTATCTATACATTCATGAAATGAAGAATCAGATTTAACCCCATTTTTTAAAGTTAGACATCAACTTTCTTAGTATTCCTCTATGTAATCTATTCATTATAAACAATATAACAAGAAAAAAATAATAAAATATAAAAGTATGCCTGTTTTCTGATTAATATTTTGTAAAAAGTGTATAGGGCCGCTAGAGACTTGAGGTATGTAAATATGTAAGTATATTTTTCCTGCGCAACTATATTTACATATCTGATGACTCAAAATGTGCAATGCATCTTTATTCCTCGAGGTGGCACTGTTTGATACACAATGATGACATGATTACCGCAGGCATAAAGCAAAATTGAACTGGTTTGACTGGCTTTTCTGCAGAGCAATTACTGTATGCAATGAAATATAAATGTCACTGTCATTTGATGGTGGATGTTGTGAATAAGCTGCCAGTGATCAAAATATTGATTTTGAAGTAATTGAAAACTATAGTTTTGAGAATATGGTTGAGATCGTGAATGTGAGGCAGATGCTGAATGTACTGTGGAAGTGCGCTCTGACGATGACAGCGATGGTTAAATCATCTGCTCAAATTGAACCCTTATAAGTTTCAAAAGGTAACAAAATATGCTTTATTTTATTTTTCTGTAATTGTTCTTAAAATACCAAGAGAGTTTTTTTTTTGCTATTGCAGCAGTTAGAGATCCATCTGTGCTGGATATATAGGTTCAGGTCGCTAAGACATGAATATGTAATAATGATTGGTGAAACATTCATGCATTTAAGGGTTAATCATTTTAATTATTATGCACCATTATAACACTCTTTAAGAAACCAAATAAAATGTGCATCAAAATTATTGTGACAAAATCATATTGAATGTTCATGTAGCTTAATTCACTAGCAAAATCATTGTGAATATATTGTGAGAATTCCACATCCATCCATTTGTTCCAGTATATTGCTCGTCATTTGTAGCAGTGACTCTCTCTCTCTCTCTCTCTCTCTCTGTGTCTCTCTCTCTCTCTCTCTCTCTCTCTCTCTCTCTCTCTCTCTGTCTCTCTCTCTCTCTCTCTCTCTGTGTGTCTCTCTCTCTCTCTCTGTCTGTCTCTCTCTCTCTCTCTGTCAATTCAATTCATATTGCTTTATTGGCCACGTCTTTCTATGGCCAGCTGGTGGTCACTCAGTCTGTACTTTGTCAGTAAATGTCTGTGTTATATTCCTGACGTGCTTTAAAATGAAGAGAATCTTCCGAACTAGAGTTTAAGTGGACCCAGAACTTTTTTTAATTATTAGATTTAGGGGGAGCCGGCCTAACTCGGCTCTGCAGGTGTTATTAGGCGTGTTTCTGTGCACATGAAGGATGCTTCTGCAGAACTCTACATGCAGAGCTTCTAAAGGGTGTTTGTGCCAGTCCTTATGACTGTAGTTACTCGCTGGGCCCCAGATCTCGCTTCCATACAGGGCAATAGGCAGTATGACACTATCCAAAATCTTTGTCCAAATTCTGATGGGGATGTTTATTTTGAATAATTTCATTCGTATGGCATGCAGTGCCCTGCGGGCTTTTGTAAGTAATGTTTTAATTGCCAATTTGAAATTTCCAGTGGGAGTTAAAACCAGACCAAGATAATTATATTGTAAAGCATGTTGAAGTGTGGTGTTGTTTAAAGTAAATATATGTTCATGTTCTAGATTTCTGTTTTTTTTCTGAAATATCATAATCTTCGTTTTTTGGATGTTGACGTCTAAGGCCCAATCATGGCAGTATTTAGTTAAAGGGGTCCTATTATGCTTTTTTACAAAGTCTTGATTTTGTTTTGTGGTGTACTAGAACAGGCTCTCATACTAGGTTCGAAAAACACATTATTTTTCACATATTTTACATTATTACAACACCTCTTTCCACAGTCTGGCATGAATGGCTCGAATAGTTCCTGTATCAAATGAAGGCCCGCCTTTTGAAATACGAAATGTGCTGTGATTGGTTAGCTGGGCCAGTGTGTGTTGTGATTGG